AAGTGTGTCGCAGGATACCCTCTAGGTGATAGTTCTTGATTACTTTTTGATAAATAATTCGTTCTTATTGCAAAATAGGAGCACTATTTATCAATTTGTAATAAAAGACATAAGGAAGTTCTGTCTTTTTTAAAGACAAAAATTTTTGAGGCGAAATGCCCAAAAAAAAGTTTGTAAAAAATGAATCCGCCTCAACAATATAGAACTTATCTACAAATAAAACTATGTCTTGAAAAACTTAATGAGTTTCAAATTTCTCAACCGATTTCAATTTTGAAAAATTAGGTGTTTACGGAAAATTACTCGCTTGAGAACGACTTTTCAATGATCCAAATCGGGGTCGTATTATTAGTTAATTATTTAGTCATACTGAAGGATCTGATGATCTGTTATTATCATTATATGGTGTATAATCTTTACTACCATACAAAGTATTTATTTTTTTTAATTGTCTATGAAATTAGAAAAATTATTCCCATGACGCCCCCTCTGAACCCGCCCTTGCGCCCTTGGATTTATGGTAATTTTCAGATAGATATAATAAGATGTTTGACATTTTCAGTGGCCAGGGCGGCACGAGCAATGCGGAAAGTCCCAAAGACGACATCAGCAATGCTGACACGGAGACAAAGGATAGTCAGAAACTGCCGTTCTGCGAGATTCAGTGACAAAAGGTGAGCGAGTTTGTGAAAACTCGTAAAAGCAAAACGCCGGACGAAAAACCCATTAAGGAGAAGGTGCGCTGGTCATACAGTCCGGAGGAGGGCCCCAAGTGCACCACTGAGCCCTTTATTTCCAAGAAAAAGGAGAAAAAGGCGGTCACACCGGTTAACGTGTAGAGTTACTAGAGATTAATTTGATTGTTAGTTTTGACGGTAACGGAACTGATTTGGAAAGAGTACCGAATGCAGAAAATATTTCAATATTATTGCATGGTTGAGGTAACTATCTCTTATATTTCGTTCGTTGAATCTTTAGTTCTAGGAGATCAGATATATTCGCGACAATATCTGAACGTTTGGAAAAATGAAAGCAATACTTCGAATATCGTTTCTTGAAAGTAATTTTATCTTAACGGGACTTGAATGAAAATGCGAAATCTATAAATGCAATGATATTATGAACCACTGTGCTACTTCTACTCTAAGGGGATTCATACGAAATAGATCATCTACCTATTTAGAGGAATCGTTAAATCAAAATGAAAGCTGTGACGTACTTTCTGTGGTACTTGTATAGACTTAGCGTAGGTTTTTTTAGTAGGAAGATCCATATGTTGCACATTGATTGGACGCAGCTTTGTTAATTCCTATTCAATTGTACAGGGTGTTTCCTCATAAGTTGACACCCCCCTAGATCGTTTATATAAAAAAACTTGTGAAACTGACCAACACAAAAGTTGTTCAAGTTTACTCAAATTTTTTAAATGTCAATTTAAAATAAAGTATGAAACACGGACATGTCAAATTTGACAGAATTTTTTTTTGAAATAAACTTCCCACATATTTTTAGACACGCCAGTAGGATTTTTTATCCCAATTTCAAAAATATATATTTTTTCTATATTTCCATTAGCCGTTTTTCCTATATTACGTTTAAAAAATTATAAATAGTCACAAATGAAAGTAGCCTTGAAATGCGACAAGGCGCTCCCACCACCCCATGACGTTCGCCTGGTAACACTTTTTTAATGAAAATGTTGATATCTGAATTGGACGAGCGGGTCCGATCCAATAGCCTCCAAAGAGCCCCGACCTGACGCCTCTCGATTCTTTTCCCTGGGGTTATTTAAAGAAGTAGAGACTCTAGTGAGACGATTTGAACTAGTGGATGCAATTCACGATATTAATATTAATCAAAACTAATATATGGAAAACGTTATAGATAAAATTGAAGTCGATTGTAGAGCGTCTGACGTTAAACGGAGTTCAGATACAAAATCAGTTATTTTAGTGATTATGTTTTTATTGATCTATTTGTGTTGAAATTTATAGTAGCAATAAAATCCGTTATGTTCTCTTTCAATAGTGTTTTGTTCCATTTCAGGCTACTATAATTTGTTTCTATTTAAAATGTTTAAAACATAATACAGAAAAAAACGGCTAATACAAATCTAGGCAATATATATATTTATGAAATCAGGAACGAAAATCCAATAGACCTGTGCAAAAATATACAGGGTGTTTCTTTAAAAAAACATACTTTATGTCAAATGTTGACATTTCCGTGTTTTATATTTGTATTTTAATATCAAATTAAAAAAATTTTTAGTAAAATCAAACAACTTCTGTGTTGATCACTTTCACAATTTATTTGAAATAAACGATCCAGAAGGGGCGTAAACTTATGCGAAAACATCCTGTACTTCGTATGAATACTCTTAACCAACTTGTTGAACGTAACTTTACGAAAATCCTTAGGACAAATTTGAACTGTTGTTAAAATTGGTAAGCGGCGAGTACTTAGGTATTACCACGTTACAGGCATCGTGGAAACAAGGCTCTTATTGTGATAGTATTTATCTTTAATTGTTCAATACATTGCCCTTTCTAATATGTATCTTCTTCGGCATTTTAGATGTACAAGTATTTATTGGATAATGTATTCAGACGGATTGATTTCTACTAAATAGATACCTAATGGTTAAGTTTAGTCTTCTGCCTTCTGAGCCGCCAACGTTTAGTAACAAATTATGCCGGTAGTCCTGGCATTAGAATTGTGCACAACTTCTAGTGATATTATATAATAAGTATTGGACAATTTACTATTAACACCGAGCAATTGGTGTGTTACACAGAGTTTACGGAAATAACGGCGTAATTGCAGAGGCTAAAAATTATGTTACCCAGTAATCACATGTGCGATTTTCTCAAGATGACGTTACTATCACGTCAGTGTCAGAGACGTATAAACGTATAGACAGTGACAGCTGCCAACTACGTTTAAAGATGCATTTTATTTACCCTCTAATCGTGTATTGCCTCAAAACAAGATTTTATATCCTATCGAGAGGAAGTAGGACCTTTTTTACTGAAAAGTATTTCCGGTTCGATAATTTAATTTTTCTATTGCAATTAAATGGAGTTACAAAGTACTGAAAATTACTTCTTCAAAGTTCAGTTTTCAAGAAATGTAAATGCCTATAGCAAGCAATTTTGGAATATTTGTGTAAAATTTGGCGTATTATTCTAGTCTAAAGAATAATCTTCTAAAATATGCCAATTTACTCACACGTCGTTATTTCCGCACAACCTGTATAGTTATTTTTTACATTTACTAATTATCGGTAATTCAAAATGTAAAAAACTTATCAGTCGTTGTCTCGATTCTATTTTATGCTTTCAAGTAGAGCTTGGAAATCGCTTTTTAAATCTAATAGATTTATTGCCGAGTTAGTGCAAGACAACTTCTTACAAAAATCGTTTTAAATTAAAACCTGTAAGCAATTATGAGTAAAACTATATTTCGCTGTTTTGGAAATGTGTAAAAATGTAAACTTTTATCTATACACCAAGCGTACCGGTACCGAACTGATCGAAAACACCACCATTAAAATTATTGTCGTTAAATGGTCGGTGCCGGTTCGTCAAATTTGATCTGTGACCAATTTCTACTCAGAAATAATGTCATTCTTTATATTTAGGATATATTACCATATAAAACGAATTGAACACACGTCTTCTTATAAAATA